CTGCCATCATCTCCAAGGGGAAGTGATGGGCTATAGCCTGGCTTACCTCAAGATCAGGACATTGTCTTGATTGACAGCCTGAATTTGCTGTACTAGCAAGGGCTACTAACACTGAGTTCACTTACTTTTCTAGGTCACAGAAGAAAAGGTTTACCATTTTTTCCTGCAACAACTAAAGAATGCAAAGCACTTCGGTAGATTCACAAGAAAGGGGTCCTTTTCTGAAAACTATTTTTAACTAACACTAATGAGAAACAGAGAAAGTCAGTGCTTCTGAAGTTGCTCGGGGCTATATAGATTTAGGTTTTCTGAACAAAGCATTTGGTACTTTATTGCATATTATTTTTATAAAGCAAAGATTTAAGGGAAAAAAAAATCATTGAGTCAGAGGGTGAATATTTTTCAGACACTGAATTGCGAAGAACTCCATTCCCATGTTTATCCTGTGTTTGTCTACACCTTCCAGCAAGCACTGAAGGGTGGACCAGGATCTATATTTGAGCAGTCAATCTTCCTTTCCCAGGCTGTGTTGCCTCTTACACCTCATATGTGAGTGGGCAAGGTAAGAAACTTCTGACGTGTATGTCTCCAGGCTCAGTGATGTGCAAGTCCTGGGCCAGTGCAGCACTGCTGTTGATCTTGCAGCTTTTTGCAGTTTTACAAAATAAACTCACATAACATTTTTTTTATCCCACTCAGAAAGCCACAAACGTCATTTCCAATTGCAACAGGCCTTCACTTCTGACTATTTTACCATTAAGACAGGAAACCAACAAAATGCTGTTTAAAGATCTAACAGCTATGAATGGCAAGTGCTACACCATGAAATGATAAAAAGTTGCTTTGATGTTAAAGTTGCGCTTCTAGAAGGTACTTTTCCCACGCTTTGTATTGGTAACGGGATTTTCACTGTTGGTGGGAGCTAGAGCCCCTTCTTGTGACTCCCTCTTGACGTGCGGTCAGTGTGAGTGCTCAGCACTTTGCAAGGTGGACCGTTCAGCCAAAGCCCAGCAGAAAGGAGAGGAAGAGCCCCTTACTTTAGTAGGATTTGTACAGGAGACAGC